TCAATAATGTTGTTAAACTGTATTTGAAGGTATCAATGATAGGATAATACTGATAGCATAAGATTGTGCACTTCTCTGTTCAGTTCTTTCTGTATCTCTAATTTTGCAAATGTTGCATGCAATTGCCCAACCTAGGATGCGGTTGCAACTTGAAAAAGAGAAAAGGACATAAAGCACTTGTAGATTTAGGAAGAAGTGAATGTTACTAATAGGGATGAGTAAAGAGGTGGATTGGGTAGTTTAGTTTACTATACTTAAAGACCAAATTGATCAAACATTTTTTAAAAAACTGACCAAACATAAAAGAAAATCAAACCAATCAAATATAAAATTGGTTTGGTTGGTTTGGTTTTGAACAAATTGATCAAAATTTTATCACTTTCTTTTACAAATTATGATATTAAAACTTATAAACTTCATCCATAATTATAAAATATAGATACAAATTATGTATAAATTAAATATATGTATCTATATAATATATTACTTTATTATATATATAATTAATGATATAACTTATATGTTATAATATTTTAATTTTTATATCAAAGTTCGTATAAATAATAACTAATTATAAACAATATGTTATAAAAATTAAAATGATAACTAATAAAATTATTAAGTGTAATTATATAAATAAAATCTATTATAAGTTACCGTATTGCTTATGTATAAATTAAATATATGTATGTATATAATATATTACTTTATTATGTATATATGAAATTAATTACACAATTTATATATTATAATGTTTTATATCAAAGTTTGTATAAATAATAACTAATTATAAATAATATGTTATAAAAACTCTGGTAATAATTAATAAGGTTATTAGGGTGATAATTAATGCTTATGTATAAATTAAATATATATAATATTTATACAATTATATGAATTCATAACATTTTATATTATTAAACATTATTAAGGTATAATAACTATAACATGTTAATATATAGGATATTTACTATTATATATTATAATATTAACATATAAGTTATATCATTTAAAATATGTAATTTGTAATTTCATATTAATACAAATTTACAAATAAATATATATAACTAAAATTAAATTACTATATTATGATTTGTATACGTACATATAATAAACTAATATATTTTAAGTATATCATTAATTAAGTTTATTATTAATTTTTTAATATATATAATATTATATATATTAATATATATAAAACAATTAGTTTGATTTTTTGAGTGTATTGATCTAAAAATTGCTAAACCATGAATCGACTAAAAAATCAATTTAATCAAATATTTTGAATTAATTGATTCAATGGACTAATTAGACGGAATCGTTTTACTTAAATCATATTTGATTTGAATAGGTAATTAATCTAGCGATTGATATTCAGTATGACGTGGCCTACACTAATTGGACAACCCTAAAACTATAGTTGTTCTATCTCCTTAGTGAAGAAGAATAAGATGCTTGTTCTTCTCTTCAACATAAGCATAATTTGGTATCCCACCATGCTAATCCATCTTTCAAATCTAGAATTTTAATAGCCTTGTGAGATTTCGTGATAGAACTTCAATAGTGGGATTTTGTTATAATATACTTTTCAGTCGGAGGGGTGGTGATAGTATGATAAACGAAAAAATATTGCAATCAGTGGGAATGTTCAAAAAGAGGGATATTGTGGCAGTAGTGATTGTGATGGCAGTAATGGCAGTAAATGGAAGCTCCTTGGGGTAACAGTGTTGATGAAGAATGATGTAACAATGACAACTACAACATCTGAGATAGAAGAAGTGAAAAGCCAGTGTCAATTCTAATTTTGATGGTGATAGGAATTTTGAAAGGTTATGATTTCTGTTGCAGTGGCGGCAATAGATTAAGACATGAACTAATAATATTGGTGAGAAACCCAATAAGGAAATCTAATTTTTTGGCCCTAGATCATAATCTTTCATCCTACTTTATCTTACACCTTTAAGTGAACAATCCTTCAATACTCTTTATCATTCCAATTCAATGGCAAGAAGTGTTGAGCATTACAAAAAATCCCATGAAGGATAAACATCTAAAATTTGCTATTCTGGTTATCCAAAGTGATAGATATAGTAGATTTTGCCCAACATTTTTCTTTTATTTCACCCTGATATATACCTTTTAGTGAATTATCTTGTTAAGACCCTATGTTTCTAATTTCACTGTGATGATTTATTGAACATGGCAATATGAGTTAACTCAATTTTTTTTTAAAAAAAGGTGAGTTAACTCAAATTAAGGGAAGATAAATTCATCATTGGGTCCACAAAAGTCAATTGATCATCAGTCTCTCTTTACTCTTGTGCATCTTTACATAA